ACTGGGCTGACAATGAGTAGACATACTTGGTATTGAAACTGGCAACATTCAAGAGCCTGGTAAAGCCTCAAAACAGGAGAAAGAACTCAATCTATGACGTGGCCAGAGGGCCCACTGGAATGGATAATGTACCCAAAGATGACAAAAATTTTGGCCATGTGGGTACCTTTCTGTTCTCAGTGAGGCAGGAATCTTGCCTTCCCTACTCCATAATTTACCACTCTTAATGTTATTAACACCCAGGAATGAACTGATTTACAGTCCAGTGCAGGTTTCCCAGTCTTGTTTTTTATTTTTTTTAATGAGACATATAGGATGGATGATATTCATATACATAGTATACTCTCTAAGGTATTCTCAGATTTTGACCAAACACTCAAAAATAAGCACACTAATAATTCATTTTCATCATATACTATATTCATATTTGTCACATACTGAAGACTTCAGGCAGCATGAAGAGTGGTAAGTCCAGCCCATTCTTGCCCATTCATAAAAGTATCTGGGAATGCAAATGACCAAGAGTGAGGGTGTCCCAGGAACAATGTTGAATTTTTTTGTATTTATATTTTGGAAAAGAAACCATTCATAAACTTTGGTATTTCAGCTCCTATAATAACAAATTACTTGCTACACACTGCTCGACTGCTCTGGACATACCATTGTGTCTTAATATGATGGTGGAGTTCTCTTGGTCTAGGTCAGTATTCCAAACTCAGATCATACGTCCTGGGTGAGGGAAGGGAAACTTGGAATTATAGGAAGGGATCCATGAATCCATGGATACACCAACCATTACAGCACTCTAAATAAATAGCTTGCCTCGTGTGTACATTACCACTTTTCAAATGTGCACAGGTGTATAAGAATTAAGAAAATTCAAATAATTTAAAAACTTTGCTAAATTCATAGTAGTTTTTTATCATTATATATTTTACCAGTCAAGAACTATCAAAAGTACAATCTTAACATGGTTAAGGGCTATAGTAGAGAGTGTAGATGAAAAAATCAAGGTTTCCAATGATATATAAAAGTCCATATTTTAAGACAGGGAAGTGGACAAAGGAACAATAGGAAATTAGGCCAGTGCTTCTCAAAGTGAGGTCACTGGACTACCAGCATGGAACTCTCTAGAAGTTGCTGGTCAAAATCTCTAGTGGTGGGGATCCTTCATGAGCTCTCTTAATGAGTCCACCTAAGTTTGAGAATCACAATCACTGGTTCAGAACGCATTGTAAAAAATGCTTCTTTAACATACAAATAGTAATGAGATATTACAAAGTATTCTCCAAGAGGTTTTAAAAGAAGAGAGAGAAATATACTTGCCTGATAGCAGGACCATGCACAGATGACCCATCTCCAGGGACCATGATGTCCACTCCCAGCCCATATTTTAGGCATTTTCTTGGTCACTAGAGTGTACTAGAGATAAGGTTCAGAGGGGGCATGGGATTCCCCACATAGTTATAGTCTCTGTATTGTTTTCCAAAAGCCCCTAGAGGGGTTGGATGCTTGCAAACGGGAAGATGATGGCCTTTGCCAAAGTAACTTCCAATTAGATAATTAAATTATTATGTTTATAGACTTTGTAGAAATCTGAAAATACCACCAAAGATTCCCGTGGAGGGACGACAGGAAGCTTTCTGCAAAGACAAGAGTTTAAAAAATGGCTTCTTGGTGATAGTTTTAGCTTAGAAATAGATAAGTTATTGATTAGAAGTAGAATGACTGTCAAATCTCTTTAAGACGTTATGACAATATCTAGGAATAAGAATTCTTTTCTTTTCTTTTCTTTTCTAAGATTATTTGTTTATTTATTTGACAGAGAGAGAGAGATCACAAGTAGGCAGAGAGGCAGGCGGGGGGCGGGAAAGCAGGTTCCCCGCTGAGCAAAGAGCCCAATGTGGGGTTCGATCCCAGGACCCTGAGATCATGATCTGAGCCAAAGGCAGAGGCTTAACCCACTGAGCCACCCAGGCGCCCCAAGAATTCTTTTCTATAGGAATCTAGAAAACAGAAGCAAAAATAAACCCCCAAACACACAGACTTCTGAGACTTATTTAGGAGGCACTAAAAACTCCAAGTTAAAAATTGCTTTTATCAGACCCAATGAAGAACGGGTAGAATCAATGAATATCTAATAACAAGAATCAACTTGTAAAAATCCCAAGTCATATCTCCGGGATAAAGACAGCAAGACAGTTTAGTGATCAACTCCACAGTTCACAGTCATGGTTAGGAGCACAGAACCAGAGGTCAGACAGACAGACCTGCTATTTAATCCTAGCTTCACCCCTGAGCAGTTTGTGTGGCTTGGGCAAGTGACTGAAGTCTCTGAACCACAGTTTCCTCATCTGTAAAATGGGAATAGTAATAGTGCAATAGTGGTTATTGTGAGGGTGAATCAAGTGAAAGCAGTCGGGCTACACTATCTGCACAGAGTAAGTCCTGATGCATGTTAACAGTAATTGTTTCTGTATTTCTACTACTTTTACTACAAACCAAGGATTTCTATAATACCAAGATGTTCAGGGCATTCAGAGAGAGCTTTTTCTGGGGTGAGGGGTAGAGAGGTGTTTGCTCAAGAGCATTAAACTTGTGGTTTAAATTCTGCATGTCCTTGGAACCCATCCTGTGACATTAAATCTTCTCCAGGGACTCTCTCCTGTTTCTGGCTTCCCAGAGCATGTATTCCCTCTATTCCAACATTTGCTGGCTCATTTTATTCTGCCTTAGATTTTCTTTCAGTGATTTCATGAGCACAAACTCCATCTCCCCAGCCAGAGGAAATGTCTCCTGGGTTCTATTCATACCATACCCCTTTTGCCCTATCTCTTGGAGCTTGACATGCAGTATGAACATGGGAGAGAAACAGAAGTATGAGACTGTGTATGTGTTTAGATGGCTCTCAACGCTCCTCCTCTCCCTCCTCCTAGTAACAACAATGGTAACAATTAGATTAATAATCAACCCTCTGGCTTTTGAGTGTCCCTGTGCCTGGTACCGAACTGAGCTCTTTAAATGCTTTCTCTCATTTGACTCTCGAACCTAGACAGCCCTGCAGGAATGAGCTGTTGAGAGAGCCATGAGCAGAACAGCAAAGCAAAGGCAGCTTTGCAAGCCTTGACTACTCACTCAGCCAAGTTCAGAACACATCAAGCAGGGTGTGGTTACTTCCAGGTCTTTGAATGAAAGATGCCGACCCCATTCCCTTTTCCCCCCAACACAATCCAACTGATGGTTCCAGTGCCCCTATTGTCAGCTGGGATCCCAAAGCAGAGACTCTTCTGGAGAGGATGCTTGTACCCCTGGGGGCCAGAGTTTGAGCCCTCTCCGTACCACATGTTTCTGACACATCCCTTCAAGTTTGACCACATCCCACAGTGAGAAATACATATTATACTGCAACTCAGACATATGTCTTAAAGATTTTTATGAGACAATGCTTATGTGAGGTCTTCTGATATTTTCCTATTCTATTTCATTCTTTCTTTGAAGATGAGACTATGAAGAAATCGGAACCAATAGATACCACCAGTGAGAATGCAAAATGGTGTAGTCTCTTTGGAAAACAATTGGGCAGTTCCTCAAAATCTTAGAAGTAGAGTTATCAAATGATCTAGAAACTCTACTTCTAGGTATATATCCAAGAGAAATGAAAATGTACCTTCGTACAAAAACTTGAACATGAATGTATATAGCAGCATTATTAATAGCAGCAAAAAGGGGGAGATAAACCAAATGTCCATCAACTGATGAATGAAAGAACAAATGCGATGTATATCCATACAATGGAACATTATTTAGCCATAAACAAGAATAAAGTACTGACACATGCCACAGCATGAGTGAATCTTGAAACCATTAATGCTAAATGAAAGAAGCCCAGTCACAAAACACCACATACTTCATGATTTCGTTTATAGGGATTGCCAAAAACAGGTAAATCTATAGAGATAGAAAGTAAATTAGTGGTTGCCACTGGGAGGGAAGAGGGAACCAATGAGGAGTGGGTATGGCTTTCTTTTTGGGGTGAAGAAAATGTTCCAAAACTAAATTGTGGCAATGGTTGCAAAACTCTGTGAATATATAGAAAAACACTGAATTGTACACTTTAAAGGGATGAATTATATAGTATGTGAAATATATCTCAATAAAGTTGTTTAAAAATGGTGGCTGTGATCCAATCAATTGATTTCATCACCCCAAATGGGTCTCAACATGGCTGAAAATTACTGTTTTAGAACATGCTGCCCACTTCCCTGTCCCCTGCCTGCGCATGTCCTCTTCATGAGAATCACGGCTTGACCTGGAGAGTTGGGGAGCCTGCAATCTTTGGGTGGGTGGATGGACAGGCAGATGGAGAGGGGGTGAATGTGTGAAGGAGGGGTGAGAACCATCTGTGGCACACTAGCCATCATCCTTCTCCACTTAAGGAATCCTGACTGCATTTTCGGCAGCACATGCACAGCAAAAAGACCACATTTCTCAGTTGGGTGGCCAACAGAGACTTCGGTGAAGTGTCTAGAAGAGTTCTAGAGGGGGCTGACTCTGCCAGGAAGGCCCCTGCTTTGATCCCTCACCCCTTCTCTTCTCCCTGCCTTGATTCAAACATGATGGCTCAATCTCTGGAAGCCACCTCATGACCCTGGAGTGGAGGGCAGTCCTGAGGCTGTCAAAGCAAAGGACATAAGGCGACTGTGTCCCTGAGGCCTTCTTGAAACCACCCGGACTGCCCACCTCTGCACTTCTTTTATGTAACTGAACAAACCCCAAATTTGCTTATGCCACTGAGTTGTCTCTGGTATCAGCAGCCAAAGGAGTTTCTAAACGATATGCCATCTAAATGAAGAAAAATTCCCCTCCATCGTATATGAGCCAAGGATAGACCTTTCAAGAAATAGCAGCTGCTCTCCCACCCAGGCCTTTCTGCCTCCCTTGCTTTCTGGAAGAACCTCTCCCTGAGTCCCAGGTCCGAAGGGAAATGAGAGACCAAATACCTTGTGATTTTAAATATCCGCAGTAGCCGGACACATCTCAGCACAGAGATGCCCAAGGGAGACATGATCTTGGTCTCTACCAGGATGGTCTCCAGGATGCCCCCACACACAATGAAGCAGTCGAAGCGGTTGAACAGGGAGACAAAGTAGGCCTGCAGGCCCAGGCTGTACATCTTCAGCAGCATCTCTGCAGTGAAAAGGGCCAGCAGTGCCTTGTTGGCTGTGTCTGGTGGGTTCAGGAGAGGGGGCAGGATCCCAGCATGGGAGTGAGAGGAGGGAGGTGGGAGAAGGAGAGAGAAAACAGTAATTATCACCACTGGAAAAAAGGCCAGGGTTCCCCTTTCCCAGCCAGAACACCTTTCCCCTATGTTGCTGCCACAACAGAACAACTGGGGCCAAATGGCCAGGAAAGGGGTTATCTAGTTATAATCACTGTAAACATAATCTACCAAGCATCAAAGGCTGTGAGCGCTGATTTTCTTCACTCCCCCAGCTGCTTTCTCAGGGATGAGGAGGGAGGTTTTGAGAGGTGAGTCCTCTGCCCAAACCAATCGAGGAGGAGGGCAGGCCACCCGAGTCTACCCCATGCACTGGGAGACTGTCTACCTTCCAGGATTCTGGAATGAAGCCCCCGTGTCTGCTTGACTCCCTGGGAGTGGAGGCACTGGCTAGGGAAGTCCTCTTTTAGGGCTCCAGGGAAGGGCGATGACTACTATATGCTCATGAAGGACAGCTCCTCAGGGTCAGGCCACTACTGACCTCCTTCCTGGCTTTTTGCTCACTTCATCCACACCCATTCTAGCAGACCCATCTGCAGGATACAGTAAGGCCTGAGGTATTGAAAATCTCTTCTGGGAAGTTGGCAGCCAAGGGTCTGAGATAGCCAAAAAAAGGATAGCATATGTCCTTGTCACCTGGACACAATAGTGACTGTTGGGGCAGGCAGACCATGCGGGCCCAGCCAAGAACCACATCTGTTTATAATGAGGCTCTGCATTTTACTGTGGGGCTTGTAAGCTCTTCAGCTCTTGGAGACCCCAGCATGGCACCTGCCAAGAGCCACGGACACTGGTGGCTTTCCCATCAACCTTATGCCTGTGACTATTTCCTCCCTGGGATTCAGGGCTGAGTTAGCAAGAGTAAAGAAGGATAGCACCAGGGACTGCCTCTCACCTTGGACCTCCGTGAGCCAGTGGGGCTGGTTGTAGTGTTCCGAGGCGATGGTGAGTGTGTTGAGGAACACAAGGAAGATCACAAGCCAGTAGAAGACATTAGACTTGACTGCAGCACGACACTTTCTTCTACAGAACCGATTCCACCGGCGCCAGTAGCGGCTGGAAAGGGAGTAAGGAGAGAAATGTGGGGGAGGTGGCTGTGAAATTCATCATTTTTCCAATCTGAAAGGCACCATCCTTTCTCTGGACTGCGGACTTGGCCTCTGCAGAGCAGTGCAATCTGGTGACCAGGAGATAAGCTTCCCGTCAGTTAACTGCGCTCTGCCACTTACTTACTTATGTGGTCTTGGGTGTGGCCCTGACCTTTCTAAGCATTGGTTCTCCCATTTGTAAGAAGGGAATAGGGTCAAGCTCACAGGGATATTGTGGGGATTGATAAAATGCCATATAATACATCTGGTATAAATAAGTATTTTTATTTTATGATAATGATATTATTCAAAATTGTATTGCACAAGTAAGAGTATTATTAGTAGTGATGGTAGTAGTAGGACCAGTCCATGCCTGTTACTGTATTAGACACTTCTCATGTCTTCTCTTTGATTCTTTAAATAACCCTGCAAAGCAGGTGTTACCCTGATTTTGAGAAGGAGAAAACTAAGGGCCACGGAGGTTGAATACCTTGACAGACATCACACAGTGGCAGAGCCAGACTTGGTTTTCCCCCCAGCCCAATCTTTTGCCCAGATGCTGCCTCATCTGTAAAGTGTAAAGGGAGAATCTGGATCAGAGGTTCTTTGTTTTTATGGGGTTATGGAAACTTTTGAGAATCTCATGAATGTTTAGATCCTTTGTTCAGAAGAAACGAACACACCCACACATATACACATTTCTATGTCCGAGCGCATGCAGCACATGGCCACCAGGAAGCTTGGCCATGGTCCATATAATGTTCCTTTGGTCTCTTCATTAGGGACTTAGGTCAATGATTCTCAATCCTGGCTGTACATAAAATTACCTGGGGAAGCTTAAAAAACATAACCATCAACCCTCACCAGTACCCAGACTCCAACTCCAAACTAGCTTAATCTGATTCTCTGGGGGCTGGGTAGATTTTTAAAGCTCGCCAGGTGGTTCTAATCTGTAACCATGGTTGAGAACCATTAAGCTAGATGATCTCAAGGAGTCACTCACATTTTTAAATTTTATGGTAGAGGACTTTATAGCTTCCAGTAGAAAACCAAACGACCAACAAAACAATTTCTAGATCAGGGGAAGTATGAGAAATGCTCTTTTGGCCATCTGGGCTAGAGAAGATGAAGGCAGTAGCTTTATTAATGGAAAAGAGGACACTGAGTTGACAGTGTTATTTTGAGACAGAATCAATAGGGCTTTGAGCCTGACTGGATGTGCAGGGTAAGAAAGAAAGGTATGGAAGGGACAGCCAAAATTTCTAGCTGGGGTGATTTGGAAGAGTCATACCTCTAATAATTACAGGTCCAGACAAAGAGAAGGAGTGCTCTGGGCAGGAAGGTTGCTACAAGAACGGTGGGGCGCTCAGCTCAGGAAATAGGTTTAAGGTGCTTGCATGTCATGTGTGTAGAGAGACCCAGCAGGCAGCTGGAAGGCAACACCCTGGTTTGGGTAATAAAGAAGGTGGGAAGGGGCAAAGCAGCATCTCAGAGTAACAGTCCATGAATAGCTCTATTCAAGTCTGTATTCTAGGTTTCTGGAAATGTAGACTCCTGCTGCAATGGGTTCCTCCACCCACCCCCAAAACAGCCTATCAAGATAGCTTGACTTCATTTGTATTTTCATTCTGTATTTTCTATCTAATATCTGTGGAAAATCCTGTTACCAAATCTTTGTTAATATCTATTGTGAGATTAGAAATGTGAGAAGAAGATCTAAGAAGAGAACTGTCTCCTTGGAATGGCAGGGAGAACTTAGTTTTTGGCCTGCAGAACAGGGAGGGAAGAAAGAATGAATCAAATAGTGTTCTGATCTGACTCTGCTCATTGTGGGTGCTTGAATGCCATCTCCAGGAAGCGCTATCCCTTTGTCGGGGACACTTATCTGCTACTTGAGGCTAATCCACTATATAGAGAAGAAGTGCATCCAGGTCAGAAAATTAAAGTTTCTAAATGCTAGGGAGGCTTACCTTCCCTGACTTACCACCTTGGGTAAGAGTGAGGATGGGGGAGGGTGAAGTAAGGGGCAAAGGATGAGATGAGGGGTCCTAGGTGGTCCTTAGCCTCCTCTGAAGTTTGCCAGCTCTTGGTACTGAGGAGTCTTATCTCAACAGGGCAGGACACTGCTTCTTTCCTGTCATTGTGGTTATTAATAATATACAGAAATTGGGTACAACTATTTTTTTCCTGAAAAATGAGTTTGCAGGACAAACTCATATATGACTTCAAATAGCTTACATTGTAGTTTCAAAGGGTGTTTTAAATAGATTTAATCTTTTGTTAGAGAAATCACAGATAATTGTTACTCAGAGTCCAAAGGACTCAAGTTTGTGTTCCTTTACAGTATGTAGAAATGGACTCAGAGTCAGTTTCATACTGAGAACTTGATTAAGCTCCTCTTTTCCCAAGTTTGGGATGTGGGGTGCCACAAGGTCAGGCCTGTCCCATGGGTCTGGAACTGCCTGACCCCCTTAAGGAGTGGCTGACAGAGGCAGGGTAGTAGCTGTCAAACGTGCTGTTCCCATGCACAGCCATTCAGGGGAGTCACATGGATTTGGGCTGGGGTGGGGGTGGGGGTAATTACTATCCAGAGAAAGTATTTAAAGATAATTATACACCTCCCACTCTTCAAAATATAGCTTTGCTTGACAACTGGTTTCCTGGCAACGCTTCCTACAGTATAATAAATGTAATGATTTATTAGAATGTGTAAATTTATTTGTGTGTTTACATATGCATGGAGGATATAGAAATTAAATGATAAAATAGGGAGGAGAAATCTGCCTGCTATTCACGTTCCCTTCATACTAACTAGGAAAGTCATTTACTCTAGAAATAGAAGTTCCCATATGTAGACATAGGACAGAAGGGTGGATATGAATGTGCCTAATCTACTTCTTCAAAATTCTGTACTATGCATTGTACCATTCCCTTGGGAAATTTTTGCTCAACTCACCCTGGGATCCACCTTACCTCTTCCTAAGTCTGGGCTTTGCTTTTGCCTTTCCATCTCCGTGGACTGTCACCACAACTGCCAGGACCTCCCCTTTCTATGTCCTGCCCATTTTGGGGGGTTCAGCTCAAGTCCCAGCTTCTCCATGGTGAACTTTTCTAGTCTCCCCAGGCTCAGAATTCCTGCCCCACTTACATCTGCATTACTCACTTTAAGTGTACATTAAAGAAATATTTGCTACTATCCTGGGATAGGTAGTAGATATGCATCAGTTAACGTGATAGGTAGTCTTTTTCTGCATAAAACTTAAGTGAGCAATGAAGATCCTTAAGCAAGCAATCAAAGAGTGTGCTTAGCACCATGGCAGGCTTCACAGAGGTGCCACAGGGGTGCACCAAAGGACCTCCCAGCCAGTGGTGGAGGAGCCAGCAAAGGTTACGTAGAGGAAATGGCTTCCCATTTCCCCATGTTGTCAGTTTTCTTTAACTATATGGTTCTTGCCTCTCCAGGGAGATCATAAGACCCTCGAGGAAAAGGCACTGTGTCTTGTACTTTGCTATACAACCCTAGTAATTAGTGCAGTCCATCTTACACGGTAGGGACATTTGACCGACAGCTTGACAGAACAGCAGAGACAATTCTATGCAGATTTACTAACTTCTTGCTGAAGACAAGGCTTGAGAGCTCTCTGGAGCTTTTGTGACCCAGCAATGAAGGTGGAGTGAGGGAGGGGCAGCGTTACTAAAAGAGTTTGCTTGGCACATAATTTTGGATAGACATCTAGAAGAGTAGACTACCTCAAAAATAGTGGACAGTTTAGGCTCTTTCTAGTGGCTACAGTAAGTGCCTATCTTTAACTGAGAACAAGCCACACAGAAAATGATTAAATTTAATTCTTTTATACTATACATAAGTAACTTAGAATGGACCATTAGAGAGAAGACAAATTTGGATATGTGCCTTGTTCCAGCTGATCATGTCAATGAAGATGGGGCAAGACTGTCCTCCCAAATTTTAGAACCCTACAGGATTCACTTCAGAAGTCTATAAAGTCAAGATCTGGAGACTCCAATAGGTTATCTGATTAATCCCTGCAAATTGCACAAGACTTCCTAAATCATTTGTTCCTTAACTGTTTGAATCCTATTCTGAACAGTGAGACCCAAATGTTGTAAAATTCCTCATTGTGACTAATTCCTCCAAGTGGAAACTTGGCTTACCAAAGGACTACCCTTATATTCCCCTAATATTATAAGATAATTAATTGGCCGAATTTCCCCTAACGTCTCTCTTCTAGCATTTCTTTTAAGTAAACCATGACTTTGCATCATTCAGTATTACAAACAGAATAGGCTGTTTGGAAACTCAGATTGTCTTATTTGTCATTGTTAAACTGAGAAAATGAACAGAGTATTTTAATTTAAAAAAAAACTCAAATTTTAGTATCTTTTTTAGAGTGCAGCAGGCTCTTCACTGCCTACAAGTTTATTTCTGAGTTGCAAAAATTCTCTCTCCATTTTCCCTCTATACTATATTTTTTCATTTTAAAAAAATTTTTATTTATTTTTTAAATTTCTTTTCAGTGTACCAGAATACATTTTTCAATCATGGCTGCCACAACCAGGATGTAGGAAGTACGAGGAGACATTCCTCTCGCATCTGTATCGGCAAACTTCTCAGCAGACAGAAATGGCTCTGGGTCTACTTTGATAATTTTCATGGAATTTTCAATCCATTGCCAGCTTTTAATATTCCTTAAACACACGTCATCAGTGGGCTGTAGCATCTAGAGTGCAACCGTTTGCTACCTGCTCAGACTTTTTAGGGCCATATCGTCTGGTGCAGTAGCTACTAGCCCCATGTGTCTCTTCAACACTTGAAATTGGCCAGTCCAAGCCTAGACATGTCATAAGGTAAAATACACCAGATTTCAAAGACTTAGTAAAAAAAAAAGTAAAATATCTCATTAATAATTTTTATATTAATTACATGTTGTAATGATAATGTTTTAGATACATTGGGTTAAATGAATTATATTAAGATTAATTTCACGTGTTTCTTTTTACTTTTTAACATGGCTACTAGAAAAATTTAAAAAGTCCTAATGTGGCTCACATTGTATTTCTATTCAACAACACTGCTGTAGAACTATGGGCCCATGCTTAAGATATAATAACTGAGCAGAAACAGGGTTCAGTATTCCTGGGCAGAACCTTTCACTAGGCTAGCATGGTGGTTAGCAATACAGGACCTGGCTACGGTTTCTGACTTGGCCAGATGTGAGCATGTGACCCTTGGTCTCTCTCAGCCTCAGTATCTTCATCTAAAAATGGGTTGAATGATAGTGCTAAACTTCTGATAGTATGCTTTTTGAGAATACAGGTTTCTCTCTTATTTCTGTTATATCTCAAATAGTAGCAGCACAGGAAAAAACCTTTCTCAGAGATTCAGTGGTTGAAATACATGAGGTTAAGTAGATGGTTGAGCTGAGTCTCAAAGCTTAGCAAAGAGTCCCAAGGTTTTGCGGGGGTTTGGGGGGGCGCTGTTCCTCTCCTTTGTTAAAAGGATGGGTTGTACCATGGGTCACTGGGTAGAAAAATGTTCCCAGAATCTCCTGGGAAATCTCTTACTAGATAGAGTACATACAAAAATGTCGTTTCTCTTCCAATCCTTCAGAACATGTTCCTTCATTTGTTCACTCATTCATTTGTTCATTTATGATTCATTCATTTGCATGTAATGAGAGTGATATTTTGGAAATATTTGCAAATGGATTTTTAGATCCCTTTACTTTTATTGTGTGGGGGATTTAAAACTGTCAGGAACACAAAGTGCTTTCTCAGCTTTGACTGTCAAATTAGACATTTTGTCTGAGGCTGTGTAAGCCTATTGTCTTACTGAAGCAAGACCATTCATTCATTCATTCATTCAGCAAATATTAATTCACTCCCTATTATGTATTAACCACTTCTCTAGACATGGAGCTAAAGCAGTAAAATCCAAACATTACCAAGAGAGAAAAGATTTTTTATATTTCTAGAAATTTCTTTCATGTAATAAGAGCTAGGCCTGGTAGACTTGACCCTAGATTGTGTGTGTGTGTGTGTGTGCGTGTGTGTGTGTGTGTGTGTGTGTGTTTTAATTTATTTTTAAATTTCTTTTCAATGTTCCAGCATTCATTGTTTATGCACCACACTCAGTGCTCCATGCAATACGTCCAAGATTTTTTAATGTAAAGGAGATCTTGGCTTGAGAGAAAGGGGAGAAAAGCCTACATTTTCCAATTTTAGTGAATTATGGGAGAAAGAAGGTATCAGAAATAGAGGTGAAAGTCAGACACCAGAGTCCTCACTAAATTCTCAGCCCTGGGTGCCAAGTCTCAAGAGGTTGCAGAGGGTTGCTCTAGAGACACCCAAATAGTTATGGGGAGTCCCTGGGGTGCTGAGGCTAGTGGGTAGCCTCCACTGGGTGTAGTATGGGGGAAGATGTCTGCAGGCCCCTAGGAAAATGCCAGCCTTTGGCTCAGAGCTTTATTCAGGCTGGTGCAGCAGCAAGAGGCAAATAGGTAGGTGAGCCTGCTATAGTGCTCTGGGTTCCCCATAGCCTGTTCATGGAGTGTGAAGGACCTGGGAGTGTCCACGCATTCAGATGAGGTATGGAGGTGCTGAAGTAAGGGACTGACAGAGCTTGGGGGTCAGACAGCAGAGGTCGAGATTCCAAGATCAAATGTAAATATGGGGGGCATGGACTCCAGCAGTGGATGTCCAAAGTAGGTGGGCTGCTGCACCCCGGGAAGGATCTGAAATTTCAGAGAGAAGCCCAGGCTAGCCATCAAACAGTATAGATAGGCAAAGGACTCAGAAGGATTCCAGAAGCAGCCCTTAACAAGCCCCATTTACTTCCCAGGATCTTGAAGTTCCCTGCCCCCATGCATCCAGACTCCATTCTGAAGAAAAGCTGGGGAAGTAGAAATATGAGAGACTGAACATTTTACCTTCAGGGACTATTTAAAGCATAGCACTGGGTTCCATTTACCCAGCTGGACTAAAATTTAGTGTTATTTATGCTCCTGCTACACAGTGGGTGAGGCTAGGGAAGCAAGATTAGATCAATTACAAAACATAAACACCAATATTTTTGGCATGTACAAGCTTTGTGGGGGAAAATTCACATCTCCACTCCACAAATCCATTCATTCATCCATTCAACATATATGTATGGACAGCCTACCCCTGGGCAGGCACTTAGCTAGGTTCTCTAGAAAGAATATGTCTGAGGCATGCAGAGCCTACTGAAGGCCTGTGAGCCATAATTGTAGTGTTGTATGCTAAGTGCTGTGACAGAGGTATGAGCAAAGCACTATGGGAGTGGAGGGAGTTGAGTAACTTCCCTGGAAGGGTTTGCATAAGCTGTAGATGCAGTAACATCTGAGGTTCTTAACAAAAACCTGGATTCCCCAGATGAAGACATGTGGACACGATGTCTTCAGGGTGAAGAAAGGGTATACGGGAAGGCCTTGATGTCTGAGAGGACAGAGAACATTCTGGGGGCTGCAAGAAGTTCCATGTGGTTGGAATGAGGAGTGTAGGCAGAGGAGTGCAAGAGGAGAGGCTGGAAAGGTAGACATGTGGCTGAAGACGGGTCCTGTGAAAGGTTCTGAAACAGCAATGTTGTGATCCTATGTTCTTTCCATAATCCTTAACATTCATTTCGTACTGTGTTCCATAAACATGAAGTAGGCAAGAATAGTAGCAAGTGTCCACATTATATTTATTTTAACTGGACTTCATCTTATAAGGAACGGAGACACATTAGGTCTTACAACCTCCTAGGGATGGTACTTGCCAAAAAGACTGGCCAAGAAAATTCAACAAATATCAACCCCTGAATTATATACGGAATCTGATCTATAAGTCTTTTCTTGGTAGCCATCCAAAAGACAGCCGTTTACTCCTTAGAATAACACCCTCACTATAACCACCTCCCCCCTTGCTGTTATCTTGGGCTACCCAAAAGTGTAGCCGAGGACAGAGCTGGTGTGCAGTGGGAAAGAAGAGCACGCATTTCACTCACCTGAACTTTGATTTGGAAATCCGGTGGCTGAAAGAGAAAAAGGAGATGTTACCAAGGGACATATATTCATACTCTTCCACTTAAAAGATGTTCAGCAGTTCCAGAGAAGTTTGATGGCCCTGGGTGACTAGAAAGGGTGCCAGATGGATGTGTGGAGTGACGTGGAATGACTTTGGAGAGAGAGAACTCTACTTGTCAGCATCTCTTGGCATGTTTATGTGTATGAACGTGGACACTGAGGGCTGGCCCAGCTGATGTGTCTACAGATCTAGTATTTTCTAAGCAGAACCAATGGTCCCTGGAGAGGGTGGACACCACGTGGCACATAGCATCTGCCCAGCAGGTCCTGTGAAGTCAGGTTAGACTGTGTGTTGGGAATGAGCCATACAGGAGAGGAAGGCCTCTCTGCATATGTGAAGGTCTCACCAGCTGGAAGCCACAGGCAGGAATATGCCATCAGACCCCACTGCTGTCCCAGCAGGAGTCCAGCCAACGCTAGGGTAGGAAGGGAAGATAAGCAAAAGAAGCCTGCCAGGAACTGAGAGGCTCCCAGTCTTGGCCTGAGGTCTGCAACTGGGCCTGAAGGACCAGAAACCCAGGATACTGACAGTCACATACAGCCTTCCAGATGTGGGGGACTTTCGGGCAAAAGCACAGGAGAGGTGTGACTCAAGGGGTCACGGTGAGGGAAGCCCATTGAAAGGTGGACCCTTCAGGGAGGCCCTGAGGGTACTGAGTTCATGTTGGAGAGTCCAGGGGAGACTAGGAGAAGGAAGGATGGGAGAAGGAAGGGAGGTAGGAGAGAAAGAGAGGAGAGGGAAGGAGGAGGAAGTGAGAGAAAGGGAGAGAGAGAGAGAGAGGAAGGAAGGAAGGGTGGGGGAATGAAAGCCCTTGAGACAAAGCAATTGAAGGCAATGTGTCAGAAAAGGCTTTGGTGTTCAGGGAGCGAACCGGGGAGACTGCAGGTGGAGCAGCCATGCTCAGATGGACACGCAGACGGATGGCTGCAGAATGCGAGGTAGAGACGAAGAAAGTGATGGAGACACCGGTAGCAAGATGAAGACAGATGCAGACAGAAAACAGGAGCAGGGAGTTTGGGAGGCGGCCACCACAAGCCTGTGTTGTCCCAGCTCAGCACAAAGCAAGCTCTGTCACATAGCAAGAAAACAACCCCTCTTGTTATTTTTTATTAAAAAAAAAAAATTAAACCAGAAGATGTGACAGGTGGCAAAGCCATCGTGCATGAGATAATTATATCTCTGGGGGCACTGAGAATCCTAGCCAAGTGCCTTTACTGCTCTGAACCGTTAGCTAATAACCTTTTCCCACCCCCAAGACTGCCTGCTAGGGCTGGAGTATTTAATCACATGTTAACAAAGTGTGTGGGAGGGGGACCAGGAGCCAAGGGCAGCATTTTTATTTAGAGCCACAGTTTAATGGGGGAAACAAATGTTTTCCAGCTGCTAATTGGGTGATGGAGAATCAGGGTCCTCTCTCCCCCAGCAGGCCCAGGCTGAGTTTGGGGACCTTCAGGGTCTTTACTAGACTTATTTTGGGCAGTTGATCTCTTTGCTATTAGGCACAAGCCGAAGTGTATGACTGTGGCCTTTAGTCTCATGACTCTGTCTACAGAGTCTGGCCTGACCCCTCTCAGAAATGTCTCAATGATCCTTTCGGGGGTGTCCTTCAGTGCAGACCATGTGCTCTTTCCTTTAAGGCTCTTTCAGTCTAAGGGAGTCAATAGCAAAAGTGGGTTCTTAAAACCCCAAATCATATCTCCCAGGAAAATGACTCTAGGACATGGGCACAGAGGGGGATCAGAGCTGAGGTGACTTTTTGAAATGACATCCTAGTCCTAGTTCCAGCATGTTCATGAGCTATGGGCCCTTCCTTGGCATTCTGGCACATTTTGAAGAGGAGGAAATGGAGCAGAACTTTCTTTCCCACTTAGTTACAAGCTCTGATGTATAACCCTTGACACCATACTTGAAGACTGATTTTTTATTGTTGTTGCTAATCTCAGGGGATTGTGAGCATAATTTTAGGCTCACTGGGTCAGAAACGTTCATCCCCTTTCAAATACCACATTGCTTAAACACCCCTCTTAAGAAAGGGGGAGGGTATTGCTCTAGTGGCAAGTGTCTGGAGACAAAGGAAAATCCCAACTGCAGAATCCCACTTCATGAATACAGAAGGACCCCATTGCTCAGCAGCCTCACCTCTTGGGGAGTTACCATTGGCTCAAGGTCTGGAAAGCTGGTCCGTCTCACTGTGTAAGGAAGCTGGGAAATCTATGGCAGCGTGGTGTCATGGCCCCCATACCACACCCTGGGTTGGCTGGTGTGTGGCAAATGCTTCCTCCTACTGGTTTTTAAACCACTTCAGATTCCTCAGCAAAATAGAGGCTCTAGCTTTTCCAAATCCCAATGGGGGATGCACAACTTGCTCAGAAGTCTTCTCAGCTTTTTCTATCATTATTGTCCTAGTGAGGTACAATTCCTACCTCATGTTTTTAAATGGCTCTTCTCAAAGAAGAGCTAGGAGGTGGACAGTAACTCACACTCAAGACCATCAGAGCAATTCTACTGGGTTGGACATGAAATTGCTTCAACCCAAGATACTTTTTCTGCCCAAGCCTCTAAGACAAACCTTCCAGGGAACCATGATTTTCTTTGTTGATACTAAGGTTCAAAATTAGAGACAAGCCCAAACCCCGTTCCTTTTGCTTAACTACTTACTTCTTGGGGGCCTATTTATATTTCAGCCCTTCTCCCCTTCTTAGAGTAATGAGCACCATATGTTTACTACCTATGAAATAGGTATGAAATATGTATGGTATGAAATAGTATCTCCCTGAACTGTTCCAATTTGCCTTTAATGTAAGTCAGATGGCCCCAGGCTGACACACATCTGACTCAACCTCCTTGATGCCATAACCTCAACACCATCCACAGCTGTTATTCCTAGAGGGGTAATGGACCTCTTCATCACAGAGCACTGCTTCAACAACTGGGTGCTGAACTCAGTTGCTCCACATTCTGACCAGATTCTCCTTCTCTATTCATCCTCCTGCTCTTGCTTCGAACCTAGTCTTTTCCCTTACTGGGTCTTTCCCCATCATTCACTCCCTTCCAAGGCTCCTGGGCTAATGCCAGTCTTAACTTCCAGTTCCTGCCTTGGTACTAGCGTCAGATCGACGTTGCCCTCAACACATGGCCTGGGACTTGTACTTTGTCTGCCTTGCTACACTGCTACTCTGGTTCACACTTCTGTTTTTAGTGCTTCTGGACTATGCAGGCTGCCAAAAAAATCTGTCGAATCATTTCAAGAGGTTGCCTTCACATTTACAATGTTGGGCTCCACTGTGGCTTCAGCACTGCTCAGCGATCTTTTAGTGACCTCTTGGTGACTCACTAGCTTGAATCTTCTGTACTGTTCTTCAGGTTCCTAGGACACCTAACCCTCACTTTCTATGATGAGATGACAGATAATTTGGTATGTCTCCTATCATTGACTTTCTGTATCAGAGTCTGTTTCTGATTCTATATTCTTTATAGAACTATAGAGTTTGAGAACTTGGAAGGGATCTTTAGATGTCACCTGGATCTATGGTTTGCAATTTATCGGGTAGTAGAATGTTTTATTCATATGAAATCTTACATGGAAGCCCGAATGTACAAGTGTTGAAAATGGCCCCCAGGAATTCTGGGCCTCTGTTGGGAGTGTCCTGAGCCAACAACCAAGCCAACTCCTTCACATCCTGGAGGGCCAGACCAAGACTCAGAAGTGCTTTCGTTGAGGTCACATGGCTAATTGGTGGCTGACTGGGACTTGACCCCAGGAGTCCGGATGCCAGGTCTCTTTTTCTATCTTTCAGTTAGTCCCAGAGGTAAGGAATGCCTTTTTCCTGTGTAAATCTAGTGTCTCCAACTGTGTCTCTGAAGTCAACATTCTACTCTACTTAGGCAATGTCTTGCTATAATTACTCATTTCCATCCCAGCATCTTTAGATCCTCCATTTTCACTGGTCACTTCTTTGCTGTGAAGACTTCCCCAGTGTTCACTATGAGGAAAAAACAAAGCCTCACTTGGCCGTTTCTGACTCCCTTTCTACCATCTTATTTCCCCTTTCCCTTCCACGGCCTCACTTCTGGAGGGAGTGCCCTCTGCTGGCTCCTTCTCACCCCTTTCCTTCACTAAGACACCAGCTCCAGCAAACAAGTCCTAGAGAGTATGGCTCCAGAACCCATGACCACTTTCTTGATTTCCATATGTGACTCTAGCCTGAGCCAGCATCATCTCACACCTCACTAACTGCTATTGAGGCTGCTGAACTGTGTTTCACTGTGTTCTCTGTTGGTCTTTCTTCTACCCATTCTTTCCCTGACATCTAAGTGATCCTTCGAGAATGCAAAAATAACCCAGTCAATCTCCCTAGCCAGCTCCATGTTCTTGTGGCTTCTCACAGTCTTGTGATAAAGACAAAGATCATTAGGTGCCTACCAGGCCATACCCCACCTCTAACCTCCTCTCTCCCTCTCCTCCCAAGTGCCCTGTCCTGGACACACTGGCCTCTCTGGTCTTCCCTCCAAGGGCCTTGAAACACACTGTTGCCTTTGACTGGAACACTCTTCCTTACTCTTCACCTCAATATGTAAGTTTACTCTTCATTTCTTAGCTTAACTTTAATTCTTCAAAAAAGTGTTTCCTAACTTGCAAGTCTAACCTGTTATTAACCCTACATTATAACTACTTTTCCTTCTTAATACTTTGACTTATTTACTTGTTTAATGCTACTTCCACACCAGATTGTAAACTCCAATGAGATGTATCAATATTTTTCTACTGCTATGCCTCACCATCACTTTGCACCAAGCTGCACACACTGTTGAATGAAGGTACAAATAGATAGTTCTCTCTTGAAACTCTTTCTCCTGTGGCCTTCCTGCAAGTGCTGCTATCTGTTCTCTTAACACATCTTCATCTGTTTCACTTACTTGTTTTTATTCTTCTGTCTGTCCTTCCCAAGATTGAGCCCTTGGCCAATCCTCATCCTATAGCCTCATTAATAGTTTTTATACTAATGACCTCAAGGGTGTGGCTCTATCCTTGTTCAGAGCCAAGATTTGGACCACCATGTACTGTTACCTGCATGGCATCTGCAGGTCCCTCAGTTGGACCCTTGCTCCAAATTTTACTTCAGCATCCTTACTATATTTTGTCTTCAAACATTGATGTCTCCTTCTTCTTCATCAACTCCCTCTTCACAACAAAATATCATATTTCAATTCCTTTTTCTTTCTGCCCTAACCCCCTCAGGGATCATCTTCATCAGCCCTTCTCACTACATATAAATTCTCATCCTGACCTCATCTGACTGCACAAGACTTTTACCTCTTAGCTTTAAAAAGGCCAGCCCCTCACTGTCTCCTCCCCATCACACTCAGCCTCATCCCCTAGCCTCTTCTCATACTGTTTCTCCCACAAGGAATGTTGGCAAACTTATCCCATGGTTGTCTGAGGCAGGAAATGGGATGAAGCTGGATAAAGAGATGGGGAGAGACCGTAATTTATTAAGCATATATTATAATCCTGGGACTGGGTCTAGGTGTTTTATATGCACAGAGTAGAAGCATAAATGTGGATATTCATGAGGATAACAGGGACCATTTCTACAGAGCTCTTCCAGCCTGCAGAATATGTCTCAAGAAAAGGACAGATAAACTAGAGATGCCAGCTTCCCTTTCCAGAGGATAATCATGTTCTCCTTCCAACATAACTCCATGTTCTCCTGATATGTACTCTCAAGTGACTTCCTAAGGCTAGGAACTTCCCTGGTCCCTCCTGATTTGCAACTTAGGCTATGCCCCAAATCTTGAGTTGCAGGGTCCTCCACCATCTTCTCTACACCCCTCCATGGTCTCAAGACCACAGGTTCGCTGGGGTCCATTTGCAAAAAGTTGAGTGCTTGCTTTGTATGGTTCCAAAAGGAGAAGAGGGAAAAGCTTGGACTGCTGCTTAAAAACGTAATTAGCCCCGTATTTTAACAACATTTTGACAATAATTGCTTCCCAATGATGCCGAGAAATCTGCAGTGCAGACTCCCTGGTGCCACTGTCAGAGTGAGTGATGCTGAAAGCCCTGTGTACCCTGGAAATAGAAGTTGCAAGAGGCAGTCTGTTCCTAAGTCTTGTTTTCCCTTCTCATTTCTTGGAGACCATACTCAAGGCTGTCCTGGCTTGTGTTCAGACTCACCTATGGAGAATCTTTTTAAAGGGATGGGGGTTTGCTCGGACTATTGAGTCATTTCAGGGATGAAGGGTGAAACAAGATGCTGTTCCACTGATGGAGTGATTTAGCAACTCATTTCATTTGGGACTGGTCCTACTCACAGCCTCCTCTATGCCATGCATTTCAGTGAGTGGGATGAGCTTACAGTTCTTACCCCAGCAAGCCCACTTTCAAGAGCAGAACCTGAATGCTCCAGGAGGCCTCATGCCCAAGGTCAATGTGAATCCCTGACAGAATAGGACTTTAATCTTTGGATTCTGCTGAGATGCTGGTAATAGAATCAGCAGTATGCTTATTTTTAGCAGTAAAACTATTTTTCCTCCTTTTTTTTTTTTTTTTTTTTTTGTGGGGGAACATTTCCCAGGGACTACTGGTTTCCATTTTTAAGATCAAAGATGGGTGATGGTGATAGTTCATGTGTTAATTGTCCCTCTGTGCACCAGGTCAATCCTGGGCCAGTCTGCTCCCTGAAGACTGAGGCTTGGGATCTGACCCAAGGGAAGGGAAGCTGTGGGCATCTAGGCTGGATCTGCTTTTGGAGGAGGTGTCTGGCCACGTTCCAAGCTAAGCAGAGGTGAATTTTTTATTAACTCAAATTTGCACTTCAGGCACCTCTGTTTCCTTTCACTAGGTGGGTAACTAGAGTTGCAGAGAAGGACCAACATGTTGATTATCTCCCAGGGTATTTTCTTACCTGTTCGCTCTTCTTCCAGGTCACATTTACCAAAATGGAAAGGGTGGTTAGCAGGACCCAGGAACCCTCACCTAGGTGCCTCATGTGATGGGGGTTAGGGGGCTGGGAAGAAACAGACTTCAGAGCCACCGCCAACCTCCCCTCACTGTCCCCCTACCCCTGTCCTGTATTTCTTTGATGTAATGGACAAGGTCTCCAAATCCTGAGTCAGACCCTCCCAGGAGTGCAGAATTAGAGACCGGTCTTAATGTTAAGACTCCTGCCCCTGCTTAGGAGCCATACTCAACCCAGAGCCTTCTTTTCTCCACAGAAGTCACTGCCTGAGCTTTCTGTTTCTCTGACCTCTGCTGCACCCACGAAGAGCCAGCCCATTGTGACTTCAGGACACAGCATCCCTGCCCGCATCCCTGGAGAAGCCCGACTCTCTGGGCTCGCCGTGCCTACTCACGCCAGCCTGGCCCCGCAGTTTTCTCCCTCGATGTCACCTCCAGCCACGTTTTCGGTGTTGACAGACTCGGTCTCACTTGTGGGCATGCTCACTACAAGAATCAAACGGATGCAGAACAAGGCATTGAGGGTGGGGAGGAAAAGGGGAGAGAAGAGCATTAGTTTGCAAAACACCTAGTCCCAAGATTGTGGGCTACCTGGGAGGAGGAGAACCTGAGCAGTATCTGTTAGTTGTTGGGGAGCGGGGGAGGCAGAGGTGCTGCTGTGAGCAGGTTGGGGCACTGGCACTGCCATGGCCAAGTTTGGGGGTTTCCTTGACTGTCACACCTATAACTTGTCTAGGGTGAGATTAACTAGGTTGGCCTTACTTCCTGAAGACACTGACCATTGAATCCTTTCCTGCCCTCAACTCTGTGACATCAGAAAAACTGCACAAGAGTTTCAGTTTCCATCCACTACTAAGCATAAAAAGAGGAGTTTTCATCAAAATATTTTATTTTGCTTTTTCCCCCACCCACCAATTCTAAGGGGTTTCATCCCCAAACTTAGGGTCCAGCTTGTTTGTAGGAAGGATGTTTTTGTTGTCTCATTAAGTACTAGAAGGGTGTGGAAGACCGCCCCCTTACTTGTAGTGCATACTGGGTCCTGAGTCGGTTCCATCTAGGACCATACCTGAAATAGGGAGCTTGAAATAAATGACAATTACCAGAATCGGGTATTAAGATTCAAACTAGCACTACAGACACCAGGAATGGGGAGCATAACCATGGAAACCACCAATTAAGTTTAAATGTGACTTGAAGATAGATTGCAGGTAGACTGGGATGTCATTTCCCCTTCCGGCAATCCTGACTGACCTTCCAACCCCAGCAGGCTGACTTGGGATATAAACCATCTAATGCCCTGGTGTCAATCTGTCTGGTCAATCTCCACTCCCTTCCCAAGGCAGCAGTGGGCTGCATTTCCAGAGTGGCAGGAATTTTTTTGCTTGGAACCCAGTGTGGTGGCTTAGAGAAGCCATTATTTTATCATTATTTTTTATTTCAAATAAAAGTTTCGCTCAAGAGAATTCTTCCTCTTCACCCTCTCTTACCCTTTTAATATGACGCAACAATGAATTTTATTTTTGGTAACCCTTGTTTTTCAGAGTGGCCGTTACGGCATTGGTCCTGGTTTCCTTCTCCCTGCAGAACAGAACTCCTCATGTGGTGGAGAAAATCACTAACTCGAATCAGCCACAGAATCTGCAATTAGTGAGAGTGTGGCATCTGGAGATGTGGCACCTTGTACAAGTCCCCATGGGGCCACCACAGACCAGGAAAAGATTCTACTGGTTATATGGATAATATTTTTGGATGGAGATTGACCAAGGTTCATTTCTTTTGGATGAAGACAAGATGGGTGGGTGAGATGAGACTCATTTCAGGAACATGCAAGATATAAACAGAAAGCCCATGACTTAACATATGTTTGATTATCATGTATGAGAGAACTCTCTACCCTAGGACTCATTTTTTAAAAAAATTATTTTATTTTTATAGTGTTCCAAGATTCATTGTTTATGCACCACACCCAGTGCTCCATGCAATATGTGCCCTCCTTAATACCCACCACCAGGCTCACCTAGGACTCAGAATACAGTTGGGTAAAAAGAAATCTTGATGCCATTTCAAAGAAGGCTGACTCTGGATGAGCCTTTAGATATTACCCAGCTCTAGCTTATTCCTTTCAATTTATAGGACAGGAAAGTGGGGTTTAGGGAAGGGAAGATGCTCAAGTTCACACAGCATGTTTGGGGTAGGACTTGATCATGAATACAAGTGTCATGAATCCCTGTACCATGCTTATCTTGTTTGCCCCTCTGTTGACCAGCTCCCTATGCTATACCTTAAGACAAGATGAGGTTCTTATAGCCAAATCAGGCTCTAGAAGCATCATAAGAACATGGTAAATAACCAAATGGTGGTGTTGAATTTTACAGCATTTACACACCCTTTGTAGCCTGAGGTCTGAGGGAGCTGGTTTTAGCACTGGGAGCTAGGAAGACAGTACCTTCAGAGCTTGCCAGGTTCCTTCTTCCAACTATACTAAGGAAGAAGTCATATAATTGAAGAGCCTTCAGTTCTTTCAATCCATCTATCTCTCATCATCTCTGACCTAAGTTTCCTTTAACTCTTTAGGCAACATTGTTTTAAGTTAAAGAACCCTGGGAGTACCTGTGTTGCTCTGTCATTTAAGCATCCAACTCTTGGTTTTAGCTCAGATCATGATCTCAGTGTTGTGAGATCAAGCCCGGCACTGGGCTCTGTGCTCAGTGGAGAGTCTGCTTGGAATTCTCTCTCTACCTCTGCTCTGCCCCACCCCCCAGTAAACAAATAAACAAATAAACAAATAAATAAATGAAATCTTAAAAAAGAAAAAAGTTAAGGAGCTCTGACTTTGTGACACTTTGCTCCCAGAGAGCTCCCTATGTGTTAGTGGAGTGGTACGATGGTGGTGATGCTAGGCTTAGAAATACAACCAGATTAGAAGTGGATAGGCTTGGGCTTTAGGAGGAACCATATCATCTCCTAAATCAAAGAACTGCCTGTACCAGTACCAAGTTGGCATTTATGGTGACCTTAATCTTGGCTGCACTAACCAAAGGAAGGGTTCCATCAGGGAATAGTTGCTGCTGATTGTCATGTCTTCTGGCTTCATATATATATATATGTGTATATATATATATACACATATATATATATACATGAAGAGACGATAGGGCAGTGGCTTTGAGTGGGACAAATTACCATCCCTTTGAACACACACACACACAATACACATTCAGGAACATTGCATCACAAGACATCGAGAAAAATGCCCTCCCGTCTGGTATGTACCAATGCACATTTACACACATAGAGCGCAGGGGAACATTACCATGGGTTTCTGTGGAGTGACTAAACCAAGCAAACTTCCCTTTCTTCTGATCAAGCAAGCCCGCTGGAGTGCTTCCTTTCACAGACAAGATGGTCAGTGTCAAGAACCAGGAACAAGACATCAATAGAGAGCATGCAGTCAGCCACGGGCAAAAGAAAGAAACAAGGAACTCAGCTTTCACATAGAACATCCATTTTTATCTTTGAACATAAACTAAGAAAATTATAAAAAGCAATAAACCAAAACACATAAGAAAACATAACAAAGTAGAACCAAAACCCCAAATCACATGAATTAATGACACAAAACAAATGATGGACCTTGAGGAGAAGGAGTTACTCCAGCAGAAGTATCAGTCTACATTGGTCTATCTAGTTAGTGGCTTTGAGGGAAGAGCTTTCTGGGAGAGGCCACCAGTCATCCTTGCCTACAGGCTCCTACAGCCTCCAGTACGGTAACTGTTAAAATCAAACTAGCATTGGTGCTACCCCTTCACTTCTACCCAATGGCCAGGTGACTTGACCTCTTCCTCATCGGTAGTGGATCTACCCCTCCCTCAGCACTTACACTCTGATCGTGCCACTAGCTAATGAAAAACAGCCCATGGATCTATTTGCCCCTTTGTCCACTTCAACTATTCAGTCGCATTCAGTAATGACCCACCAAGGGCTTCAGGTCTAATCATATCCAAACCCTATTATGTTTCTGCTTTTAACCAGTTTAAATAGGTAAAGTAGTTGCTCAGTTTCTTGTCTATGGGTAGTCTTTTGAGGAGTTTGGTGTAAAAAGGAGAAGAACTCTATAAGATTCTTTTGGCTCTGGGCTATAGTTGAAGAAGAGGGTGCTAGGGAGATTGTAAAGACACTGATTACCACAAACGGAAGAGGGGGAGCTCTGTATTCTGCAAATAGACTTTGAGTTCTGGATGCCAAATGCTTTAACTCATACCAGAGAAAGAGAATTTTCCCACTCTGTTTGACAAAACTACCATGAACTTCCCTCTGCCAGGCCTCTATGGAGGGTGCTGGGTAAATAGTGAGTGAGGCTTAGTCACAACTTATTAATGAGGTGGGAAATCTGCTACCACTCAGGAAAGCAAGAGTGTGTCCTGGTGGTGAATGGGTAGGTGGCCCCATCAGTCCCAGGAAAGGGCATGAAGGGAAGGTCAGTTCAAGTTTTTAGGTGCTTCTTTATTTTATCCACTTCCCTTGGAACTTGAATCACCTTCAGTGAGCATCCCTGAATGCTGCTTGCTAGTGAGAATTCTGAAGACCGGTTCATGAAAAAAAGGATGAGTCTTATTTTTAACCTGGGTAAAGGGCCATGTCCCAACCACACATCTTTAAAATACAAAGCTTGGAATAAGCAGACACTTCTCAAAAATCCCATATGAGAAAAGCACTGAGGGTCAGGAGCTGAAATGAATGGCTTGGTTCCAATTTGCCTTCTAGCAAAAGATATGTCTCAACATACAATGATAACCGTTACTGAAGTAGGTATCTTATAGTGAGTGGTCTTTTCTTTGGAGGTGTACAGGGGTCAACATGAGGCCGCCAGTTATCAAGTTTCTGTCTGTTCACTGTTGTCTGGGGGAACAAGAGCACTGGCCAGTGATGGAAAGCCCAGAACACCATGACCTGTTATAGAGAAGCCATTATTCAGCTTCTGGCCTTGGCATCAATATTGTCCCATATTGTTTGATTTCAGAAATGACTGCATGATAACTTTGAAAACAATAGAAAGAGCTTGATAAAAAACATGGTCAGTCAGTGTATGACTGAATTTGACCAGGGCTGGTCTTTTATGTGGGCAAAGTTGGAAGCTACTGGTGTGGAAAGTGATTTGAAGAGCATGTAAATCATCTCCCTTACGAGTGTGCAGTAGTTTTTGCTAGATCTGCTCTTTTGGGTCAAGTCATATATCTGAAGGTTTCTTGCTGAATTGAAAATCTCTCACCTGGAGGGAGCAGTACATTAATATATTAGTGCCTATTTGTGATAGTTTATCCCCAAAATACCTAAGGGAATATAGATCGGTGAAAATGCAGTTTTGTGTTCCTATTTTACTAAGGGATTAGATGGCAGGATCATAGGTGATTCTTTAAGGGATCAATTGCCCTAGGGAGGGGGACTTGCATTCCTTCTTGGAGTCTGAGTGCCCAAACTGTTGGAAA